CGTGCAGGTCTCTTCTGGTCTTTTAACTCAAAGAACTTGCTTCTAAATCAAATCATGAAGTTGTTAATACCTTCCTCCCTACTCATCTTCATAGTGGCACAAAAGTACTTCACCCAATTTACAGTGCTCCTAGGAGAGCAACAAGATGCTTCCATTATTTCGAGACAGAAACTTTGGCACAAAGAGATTAGGTGACTTGCACTTTGCACCTGCCCTTGCAGAAATTGCAGTACGTACAGATGGTAAAGGGGTGACACCCTGACAACCTTCTGCTCACCCAGAATTGTCCTTTTATAAATCTGATCCTGGGCCTTTATGGAGCTAAAATGAAACTTAGTGGGGCCTAGACTGCACCAGGGACGAAGGTACCTGCAAGCCTCATGCCAGCACTCTTGGATGCCCATATTCATAGGTACGCACATTTTCCAGGAGCTTCAAGATCCGTTTCTGCACAAGTTCAGAACTGCTGTCATCTTGGCCAGGTTGAGGAGCTTGGCATTAAACTAACCCAAGTCTGGCTGGGATCCTCAAATTAGCTGCTCCCCTGCCAAATACCCAAAGGGATCCAAGCCATTAAGCAAACTCTAAACAGGTGAGACATTGCAAATACTGAGTTCTGCACAGACTGCAGTAGCGTGGCTACTTTCAACAGTGGTGGCAGCGTCTGCCTTTCACGGGCCAGCCTGGTTAAAGAGCTAGCCCAGGAAATGGGAAACGGGCTCTAGGCCCTCCTCAGCCTACGGGGGCTCAAACCCTTATCCCCTGCTTTCCAAAGGAGTGTCTTAACCAGCCCAGCCCCTAGCTATTGCCTAGAGGCAACCTAGGAAACAACAGCCATTTCAGTTAGAATTGCCCTAAAATGGGATTATTGCAATTGAGCAAAAGAATGAGGCAGATTATGAAAATGTGAGATCTAAATTCCTTTTTTTTTTTTTTGAAGGGTCTTAAACAGCCAATTTTTCCTGAAGGGGAGCAAGGGGGGAGTAGGGGCTTCCTACCTTCTTATTGAACACATTAGCAGAATGGTTATCAATTTTTAATTAAAATTTAACAATGTGAGGTCAATTATGGCAAAAATGAAAGGCAGTACAGGTTTCCCACACTTTATGCGGGTTCTGTATGCATGAATTTGCTCTTATGCGATGATCCTTTTTATACCAAATATTTGTTTTGTGTGAGGTAAATCCACTCTGATGCCATTGGCGTGGTGCAAGCCCAGTCAGCTGCTTTGTGCAGTGCGTTGTGGGAGTGATGCCCACCAAAATAGTCTCCTGTGTGGATCTGTGCTTCTTGCTCATTGTCTGCGACACGTGTTTCAGTAGTTGCCATCCCCATTATGATAGTGCCCCAAGCTTGTGTCTACTGTCTGCTGCTGGTGAGCACCCAAAATTGTCTTGCAAAAGTAGTAGAAATGGGTCAGTCCAGTCAAGGTCTTGGAACGTATCCCTATTTGTTACATTGTAAAGTGGGTTCCCTTTATGCGAATTCGAGTTACGCGTCATTTCCCAGGAATGCATGTACAACATAAAGCGAGGGAAATGTGCAATTTAAAATTAAAAAAAAAAAAAAAACACAACACTTAAAAAGTCTTTTTTTAAAGGAGACATTTTATTGAGCAGCTTAAACATACTGGTTAAAGATAAGCATAATAGATTTATATACTCGAAAACTAGATCATTTGGAGAAAACTGCATAAGCCATAAAATGTGAACAACCTACAAAAGAAAGAGTTGAAGTTGGGGACAGTGGGGGGGTTGGGACCCAACCTTACAGTCTCTTAGAGCAGCGTGTGAAGTCAGCCCTGGAGTAGCTTGCAAAGAGGGTGAGCCCCTGGTACCTTGGACTTGAGTCAAAGCTTTCTGGCCTCCAGCCTCTCCAATTACCCTGGCCCCCAAAGTCCTACCCTGTGGCTTGGGTTTCAAGGCAACACTTTCGCTCTTTAAGAGGATGGAGCACACCCAAAGGCATATACAAGAAAGCAGGCAGCTCTTCTCAACCAACAGAAATCTTTATTGATCAGCTGCAATACAATAGGCAGTATCCTTGGACCCAAAAAGCCAGGATAACTCGCAGGCAGACTGTCAGGGAAAACAGCTGCAGCTGTCTTCTCTGAAGCACTCAGCTGCTGCTTTTCAGAGGAAGTAAGGCTGCAAGAAGATGACTAATCTTCACTCTCTATAATCACCCTTCAGGTATTTGAAGGCAATTAACAAATCCCCCTCCCCGGTCTTATTTTAGATTAAACAATACAAGTTCTTTTAACTTCATGGGGTTGTCTTAAACAGATGGTCAGCGAGTGGGTCGGCAAAGCCTTGTCTTCATTTCTCCATCATGCCAACCAGTGCAGCTGAGGAAGAGAAAAATTAAACAGAGTCATGCCTCTCTCTCCCTCATCTCTGGCTATGTCTGTTTTTCAAGACAGTCTCCACTTTCGAGTCCCTCTGTGGCACCAGAAACAACAGGACGTCTCCAAGTGCTAGGCCTGGAGTCCACTTGTTGCACTGCTGGGTCATTCTGCATGCAATCAGCACATTGCCCTTAACAGGGCACCCTGGAGGCTCTTCTTCCAAATGGTTAACCTCCTTCTTCCCCCAGGTGCAGGATAGTCAGGGAAACCGAGGCATGCGGCATTATTATAACATGAACACATTTAAATCAGAAATCCAACAAACTCAAATTCTGGCATATTTGCATTTAAAAAAATCCCTTTCCATTCTCTCTCCTAATATGCTGCCTTCCTTTTGCTTTATTAGACTTTGGGCTTCTGGGGTGCAGACTATCCCATCTTGAATGAGTATCTGGGAAATGCTTAAAAATATTACAATTGGAAGTGATCAGAAGATTTCAAACAAAACAGCTTTGAAAATGCTGGTTGGTGAACCTCTAATATTCCATGTGAAACCCCAGCGAAGTTTCCAATCCAAAGCCGGATCCCAAGAATTTGGATCTGCCTGGATTCCTGGCGAATGTCCTGGGGCTGGGGATGCTGGGAACTGCAGGGTCTCTGGTTTTTAGCTATTCACCTCCAACAGGTCTGATATAAGGTCAGGGGCCCTAAGATCAGTTATACAGCATATCACTATGAATAAAGATGAACGGTTCCCTGCACACTGCAAGGAAGTCCAGAAAAGAGGGCAGTCAGTCTGCATCCTTAAAAATGTATGCATTACAAATTTAAGCTACAAAAATAAAATGCATATTTAAATGGAAAGCATTAACTGAAATGCTAGCTTACTAAAAGTAAAGAGATGTTGGACAGTCTTCTCCTAGCTCTGCCAAAAACTCCCCATAGGACTAGAATCCAAGAATGTAATTAAATTTGTTGCATTCCCTTCCTGTTTCAACCACACTTTGAACAGGAAGATGGGAGACCTTTTCCTGCATTTCTTCCCAGCACCAGCCAGCCTATACTGGTGTGCTTGTCTCATTATCTAGAGGTAGCAACACTGCAGAATTCAGCAGCCTGGCCTAAACATTTCAAGTTTGGAAATCTCTGGGAATGGTATCCTAGGGCAGCTGTTCCGCAGCTAGGCCACAGGGACAACTGTGGTGAGGCTGACCTCACTAATATTCATATTGCTACACTGCTTCAGCACAGAAAGCTGTAGAGCTGCCTCAGTGTAAAGCTGCGAGTAGGCTACCTCTGCCAAGAGGTTGAACTACTTATCCAAGGCTCTGTGCTGCTTCCCTATAACGGTGGCCAACTGCGAGAGGCTTTGCATGGAGTCAAGGGAATTGTAAGGATAGAGGAGCACAGACCAGATCATGAGTTTGTGGTTGAAAACTACTATTCCCGAGTACAGAGCACCTCAGTCAGTAAGGCCTATATGTGGAAATACTGTGCGTGTGTGTACACACTCCTACCACCCTTGTGTACATTTCTTAGTGTTGATGTTCACAGCCCCAGCACCTGAGTGCAGGTGATTTTTGGGGTTCACAAAAGATGCACAAAGACATGCTGAACCTCATTCTTAAGTAGGGGAAGACAAGTCAGTTAAACAAGGATACATCCCAAACCACTATTTTTTAAGTCACTGCCTAAATTCAGAGGAAAGAAGTTTAATTACAGTTACAGTGAGTCTGTTCATAATCCTATTCCACAGCAGGTGGGCAAGCAACTTCTAAGAAAGGCAGGGAAGAAAACAAAGGAAAAAAATAAGTTCTGAAAATGGGTGTATGCCAAAGAAAGCCTAGGTCAGACAGCAGAAGCTGAGTCTTGATCTAAGGCAGGCAAAAGGAACGGAGGAGCAGGAAGTGCATGCCTCTATTTTCTTGACACAGTACAAGAAAAGGCAGAGCTATACAGGTACTGCTAGGACAAAAAATCCACTGTGAAGCATGCAAAGAGATGAGCACTCACAGGAGAAATTTCCCATCTAGTGTTTGGCTAAACTTCCCCTCCCTTAGCTAGGAACCAGACCACAGCAGGAAACCATTTTAAACTTCAAAGATTGAAAAAAAATGGCTGAAGATAAGTGAATACTGCCAGAATGCAAGAAAACTAAAGGCAGCCTTCAAGCAAGTGATGGCAGAGATGTGAGTGATTCTCTGACCTCACTGAGTGGTCTGTGTGGTGTCTCAACTTATTGAGAGAGATCTTTTTGTAGGTACAGTGCTTCCCTTAATATGCAAATGCATGAAGTCCCCAAAACAGCATGCAAGAGGTAGTGTCTCTCACACACTGCACAGGACATTTTAATCCATACACACGTCAATCATGACAGACCCTCATCTTGTTCTCCTCCTTGATATTTTTATTGTAGTATGGAACTATAAGAAGAATTTGATTGTGTAGCAGAGATTACAGTACTTTTTCAGTGATTACCGTTTGCAGAAAATTTATACATTTATAAAGATTTCATAATGGTTTGAACATTTACTCCCTGTTTTGAGATATGGGGAAGGAGTTTCAAACGAACTGCATCAGGCGTTGTTTCTTTTCAAAGCCTGTATTGTAATAATTCCAGACAAACACAAACCTTCCTGAACACACAAAAATGCACAAGTATTCCAACAGTGACTTTATTTGCTGGAGTTTTGATAACATGCATCATTTTACAGCACCTGTAAACGAGTCGGTGAAGCATAATGCTTTAAGGAATTTGTACTTTATCACCCCACCACATCTGGTGTGGTACACAATGCTAACCATTGAAAAGACAGACACATATTAGGGCAACTTCTTTATGGCTAAAAACACTCATAGCAGCAGCTTTTAAAAGATGATTTTTATTAAATCAGTCATTGCACTTGGTCATTTATTGCTACAGCAAAAAAAAAAAGGCCATTAAATAATTAACACCTTTCATATCTGATTTAACTGATTGTCTTGTTCTGCTTGTCTGCTACAAGCTTAAACGCAGACAAAATTATCATAGAGCAATTTATCACAAGATTCATTTTATGCTCTGATCACAGTAAAGAGCTCATAAAATAGAGGATACTCTATTGTATTATGTTCATTTCTTCTTTTGCATCATCAGACTTAAAGAGGTAAAAGAGTTCTAAGAAAGCTTAGTGTCTGATAGAAGCACTACAGCTGCATGTTACTCCTGGATATAAAGATCTGGCTCAAGTCTTCATTTGTGATGTATCTAGACAATTAAGAATTAATAATGAATCAGCTAATTAGCAATGCATCTTGAAAATATAGCCTAAAACCTGTATATATATTATATGCTATTAGATTTCATGATGAATAAATCAACAACTATGGTCTAACATCACTCAATTGACTCTCATATATTTGCCACTTACTGTGAGCCAATTATGGAAAAGTGTTTTCACAAGTTATTATGCTCTTGTTTTCTTGCTGAAGTGATGTATTACATTATTACTATGCCTATGCATATTTCTGGGAGTAGAAATCTAAATGTTCTCTTACAAATCATGACTACTTCCTGATGAACTTATCAAACTATGGGGCATGCCTTTGCCATCTAAATTCTGCTACATCAATAACAAATGAAGCTGTTGCTTAACTAAAGCAAAGCGTTTAATTAACCTTCCTATTTAAAAAGACTGGAATAGTGTAGCTCTATACCAGATGTGGACAACATGAGATGTGGGGAGAAAGAGCAGGGAATTATTTTCCAACACTGACCATTCTGAGACTAATTCCTCCTGGGGTGAAAGCATCATGCGACTCATGGGTTTTGAGCCTTTTTTCTCTATGGGGAAATACATAAAAGATATTGCATTGGAGTTAGGACAGTGAGGTCAAAAGGAGGTGCTTCAGTCAGTCATGTGAAAATACACATTTCTTTAATATATTGTTTATGGCAAGAATAACACTCATTTGTAGAAGAGTCCAGAGAGTTTATCTAGCATCACTCCCAGGAAAATACCACCCATTGTAAAGATTGTTTGAAGTTATGTGTTCACGTGAGTGAGACAGGCCTGAGACTGTCTGTGAAAGTCGCATTTCATCTTAAGGAAATTTATAAAAATCTCTCAATACTATTACTATTTTAAAAACCCACTAGAGACTGTGATGACTTCAATACCCAAAAGCCAAGCAATTCAGACTTCAGGCTGATTTTGCATGTGCTGTTGTATGTGCTGCAATATCTAGGCACAAGAGGTTGAGTTAAGGATGGATTTTAGCCTTGCTTCTAGGTTTTTTGTGTGTTACGGTTTCAGAAATTATCCATGTTTTAGCAGAGTCCTATGATTCGATCATAAATCCCTTTCATGAATCCTATAGTGCAAGTGACAAAGTGTTCACTAAGAAAATATTCTGATTGTTAGAACTACTATGCATAGGTGATCCATTTGCTTCATTGCATTAACAAATTCCTATTTTATCACCCAAATTGTAAAATGGCATATTATTAATACTCACTGAAGACAGGCACAACAGAGTAACCCTGGGTAAGAATGCTAAAAATTAAAAAATAATATACAAATATCATATATTCCCTTTCATGTGTAGGGAAAAAAGTAGTGACTACAATTACTATAAGGCTACTCCATCCCTCCCAATAGACTATTTTACAGATTACTTGTAAAGATATAATCACCCTATTTATAGTATAGATCTCTTTAAAAATTACACTACAAGTATTCAATAAAAATCTATTAAGAACTCCCTCTCCTTTTTATACAGATTCAGTAGTATTTTCAAGCAAACCGGAAAATATAGGTCTGCGATTCCAGCACAGTAAGAAATAAGGCCTCTTCGATATTGGCAAAAAAATAAGAATAAAAAAAAATTACATCATTATTCATTTTCTTTTCTTCTGTCTCTGAATAGAAGACTATATTCCTTTTTACTCTTTTTCTTCTCTAAAACCAGCATTATTTAAGTAAAAAAACAGTTCTTTTTGTATTTTGACTTGAATTCCTAGCAAGTAACAGACTGCGAGTCTATGCCAGCTCATGTAGACATCACCACTTTCTTCAGCTTTTCTATTTCAACCTATAGAAAGAAAGAGAAATTATGAGTAAAGAAATAATTTGTAGTTCAGTAGCAGTATCTTCAATGAAATGAAATCTGAATCTATCCATCAATTTTCTTTACAACTCTTTCCTTGTAAATTTTTTGTAAATCTTTCTTTGTAATTACCTATTAACATGGATTCATTTAACAACTTAATAAGAGCATAGCTAGAAAAATGTGTACATTTTGTGTCTGTTATTAAACTGCTGGTCTCTGCCTCTCACCAAAATAGCCAAGGCTTTCAAAATTCATTTAATATGATCTACTTTATTTGTACTGTAACATTTTCTTGACTAAACAGCTCCAAGTAATGTGTCCTGCTGAACATGTTTGTTCACTGGACTCAGTTGCTTAACGGCAGACTCCTGCACAGGCTACATTGGCTAGTGTGCTGCATCTCAGACTTGTCTCCTAAAACAGATCGTGCACACCCCCTTCCTGCCAAGTGTGCCTTATAGCTTTCTTTTAAAGGATATTGAAAAATATAGTCTCTTTTGAGTTACAACAGTGCAAATCTGCAGTAACATCACTGATTTCAGTGAAGTCCAACAGCCGGGCTATATTCTAAACAGTGACATTTGGGAAACATTCTCTGAATTTGCAAAAAGGCAATTTTTGCTAACTTGAAGGCTATTTTCCTCTATCATCCTTTCTGTACCTACCAAAAATGAGATCACAAAAGACCACATATAAATATTTATGATGAACACATACCAGTTATTTCACAATGCAGGACTCAGAGGCAATATGCACTCAAGAGTTTCTCCCTGTAAAACCCCTGCCAGTTTTTCCTCAAAGCATGAAAGGGAAACCAGGGAAGGAAGCGAGACTTGAGTTCAGATATGCTACTAGACCTTGGTGTTATTTGAGTTATTCTGAAATATTCATTTATCGCTCATTAAAATGTTGTTATGAACATGGGGGGATGGAAGGGGGCAGCAGAAATCAGGAAAAGTGCCAACATTTTCATAAAAGTCATCTTCTCTCTTTTTTTTTTTTAACCAGACTGATAAAAATTGACATTTTACTCCAGGAGCACATGGGGACAAAACTTTTCAGCTGTTTAGAGTACCTGGGTTCCCATCTCCATGTGATTAAAAGGTGTTTCATGAAACGTTAGTTCTACTATTTGGGAGCTGCCTGTATAAGAAGCTCCAAGAGAGAGCATGTTCAGAATCCTCTAGTAGGATATTATATAACTCTTCCCCCAGATTGGTACTCTGTGGTTTCTCTCTAACTTTACATTTAAAAGTTTGTGTTTTTCTAGCTGTAAATCCTTACTACAAAATCTTTCATGCAAAGAAAGAAAAAAAGTCAAGAATAAGAAAAAATGCTGCTTTAATTGGGCAAGCACTCAGGCTTGTACTAATAAGAAAACCTCTAGAGAAGAGGTCAAGCATTACTGTCAAGCCATTCATTAGCCAGTCAGTGTCAGAGGACAGCATGCACATTCCAACAGTTACCTCCAAGTTACTTCGCATCACCTTCTCTTCCTCCAAATCTTGTTTTAGTTTTTCCAGTTCTTTCCTATAAATTTAAAACAAAAATTTAAAATACATGACTGAAAACATACAATTATCTTAGTGTTCAGAACTGAAAACAGTGATAACTGTATAAAGCTATCTGTATATGCACATAGCCCCCTCCCCAAATAGAACTAACAACTATTTAGTTATTTAGAGTTGTGGAGTATGATAGCTACATGGAAGAAAAAAAAAGAGCTACTGCTGATATGGAGGAGCACACTCTTCCCACAGGTAATGAGAAGGAAATGGGGGGAGCCATGCCTCTCTATGCCTATAGCTGGAAGTACAGGGACAAAGCAACATGCTGTACCCCAAAACAACTGCTAACTAAAGTCTTCGGTGCCAAGCAACTGGGTGTACACACTGCTATAATAAAACATATGTTTGAAATTATCTGAATGAGAACACAGTAGCTCCTTCTACCTTGATTATAATAGAGTCTTTTATACAGACACAAACTACTTTGCCTTCCAAAGGAAAGGGATGAACATTAGAATGCTTCAGTTTCCACAAATTTCCAGTTCACTGTATAAATCACTTTACTCAACAGCACATATCAAGCACATGGTCAAAAACCCCCCCGTCAGTGTTATGCAACTAAAAATCGGGGAGGACGTGCCTTTTGGTCAGTCTTCACAGCATCATAGAAACGTAGGGTTGGATGCGACCTCAAGAGGTCATCTAGTCCAATGTCCTACTGAAGGCTTCCCTGTCAAAACCACACTAGACAAGTGTTGGTCTAAGCTGCTCTTAAAAAAAAAAAAACTTCCAATGATGGAGAATACACTGTCTCTCTAAGTCATCTGTTTAAAAAAAAAGTGAAATGTTGACCCAGAATCAAGTCATCTCAGAATGAATTAGCACTGGGTCCCTCATGTGTCACAGGCAAGAGGTTGCTCCCTTCTGAGCACATTCTGGTCCTGAGATGGTTTAGACTAAGGGAGGTGGAAGATGGAGGATATTGAGAGCCAACTGAAACTCTACAGTGCTCCATTATCATTAAGTTTTCCTTGGCATTCGAGTATCATCCCACCGATGTTAGCTTTGCTTAATGGGCTTCTCAACCACAAACATAACTTGCCATATACTGTGCTGGATTCTGACCCTACACCTTTGAGAAAAAGCTTAAGAGTTTTTGCAAGCAAACATAACATAATTAACCACTTATGTAATGCTTCCAACACAGAACAAAAAAAGAAATAGAAAAGTACAAAAGGGAAAAGAGCTGGAATGCAACTCAAACAGTGCTTGTTTTTCAGCAAAAAAAAAAAAAAAAAATAATATGCAATCGTTATAAAACCCTGGGTTAATTTCAAAAGCAAAATGCATCATGACACTAGTCTAGGAGTGGCTAGAAAAGAGAACTTCTATAAAACATAGTAGTTAGAAGAAAAAGATGATATGAAACTGAAGGTTAAAGTATATTTACCCATGTTCTTTTTTCAGTGCTTCTATGATACTCATCAACTCACTAATCTGAGCCCTGAGTTCTTCCACAGAATTTTTCCCATCATCAGTTTCTCCTTTAACTTTGATTTCTGCAGCAGCAGAATTGAGTATGAAAGAATTTGGTCTTGGAGATGAAGATGGAGGTGCTGAAGTCAACACAGATGACTGAAAGAAATCAGTAAGAAGCTAACATGAATACATAAAATGTTGTTAAGTGACAACAAACTGTATTTTTCCCTACAAACTATTTTCCACCCAAGTTTTTTTACTATAAAAACCTGTAAGCAAATGTCCACATCAAAACCCCAGCTACTGTAGTACACACTATACATGCATGATTCAAGCATTTCACTCTTTAAATTGGTGCAAGAGAAAGAGCCTTCCATTTTACAAGACTGTCTGTGCACCAAATTAAAGAACACCTCGTTGGCCAGCCCCACCAGGTGGTGGAATTTCAGTGTGATCTGGAGACCCACCCCCCACAAAATCCTCTATAGAAAAGATCTGCAGCTGCTTCCCTGTCCTTCCTGTGATAGGACCCAAGCCAGTGGTTGCACTTACAGCATGGGATCCTGGGTTTCTCTGATTTAAAAAAATCCTCAATTTTTTGTTAAAAAAGTAACCCTAAATCCACTTTTTCCATGATTTAAATGAAACACCACTAATATATACACTTATATATTAGTACTGTTTCATTTTAATCATGGGGAAAAAAAAACCCAAATCCACATCTTAACTAAAAATGGGTTGTTGTTTTTTTAAATCAGAGAAAACCAGGATCCCTGAGCATGACATAGGCTATTCTCTGTGGTCAAGGAATTGGGCTATGTAATCACCCAATTCCAATTGTGTGAGGGTTTGACTAGTGATCTGTGGGGAGATGGAGGGAGGAAGAGGGCTGGGTAAAGTTCTCTGCAAATGCAGGAGACTGGACCAGGAGGCCGCTTCTAGTCCTATGTCCCCAGGACATGTAGCCTCCTCATAAGACCCAAGACCTTTCCCTTAAAGATCATGCACATGCTGCTCATGTCAAGTGGGGAGCATGTGTAACAACTATCAGTGACAACTATCAGTGAGTGAGAAGAAACAGCGTTCCCTGAAGGTGTTGGCTTCCACCAGAGGGAAGACTTGATAATTAGAGGAACAATACTTCCATACTAAAGGGGTATCTTCTAGAAAGGAATCCCAATAAAAACTAGGCTCTGAATCGGGGACAGGTTCCTTTTCTAGGTGTTTGCCGGCCCACTAGCCGGGGTTCTAAGAAGAAAGAAGGACAAAACCAATCCAAGGCCTTTCTTTGGTAGAAGGATAAAGTTCAGAGCAACAGGCTGGGTAAAGAGACCAGTGAGAGGCTGTGATGCCACACCCACTCTTCCTGCATCACAAGGTACCCTGATCCAAACACGCCAGCCGCTTGAGGAATCACGCAATTACAGCCGCCTCGCAATACAGGGATTCCCTTACACGGCTTGTTCTTTGGGACAAGGACCATCACTGTGTTGCGTGTTCATACAGTACCTTGTGAAAAGGTGTCTCGATGCATTGGGCTCAGGCGCTGGCACAGTACTAAGACTTCTTTTTGTTGGTTCTCTAGTTAACACACAGCCCTTCTTTCGACTGCTGCACTGGCAGTCTAGTCCTTCTGCCATTGTGCTTTTTGGCATCAAGAGTATTTTCCAACTACTTAGAAAACTTGCTCTGGCTTTTTAAATTTAAATTGTAAAGAGCTACTGTGGAAGGGAACTCTGTCAACACTGTACTAAGCAAGCTTCCAGAGAGGTTACCCCTCTACATAGCTTTACTGTTCAGCCCTGCCTTTCTACAGCTGTGATTTCAGGTGGCAGAGCAGACATCCAGGTTACTATCTATCTAGCAACTGGAAGTACTGCTTCATGCCAAAGGTAAAACATATCAGTGTCCATCAATGCAGTTTTGTACCTAAACTTACACTGGGCACTTGTGCCTGAAGGGAAATATCTACA